GTTACTGGAATGTGTTTAAACATACTGGGTTTTATGTGTATGTAGTCTAGGAGTTATCTGGAAACAGAGACTCTTTCCCTATGACATAATGCCAGGTTGTCATTAATGAAGACAGCTGAAGTAGAATGTGCTGGTAAAAACCTGTTATAGGTTGAACATACAGATTTTATGAATTTGCTTTCTAAATGAAAAATAGTTATTAATTTTTGAAATACTTAACCTGTACTTCCAGTTTGTTAATGTTAGATCATTCAAAGAGAAGATTAGGGAGTGCTTTGTGTGTGCATGTCTGTGTAGATTTTTTTTTTTTTTAAGTTTTCTTTTATGTTGCTGATAGCAGCATTTATACATAATTCTGTATATTTACTTCTAGAGTTTGTCAAAGATGCCAAGAGACTGGGGAGATCCTTTTGTGTTAGGATGTAGTTACATGAACATGCATTTTCAGCAACAAATTTGGTTCAAAATCAGTTCCTGAATTTCTGCTCCAACTGTTGAATGTCCTTGCTTCTGCTAATGTGTTTCGGTTTGTAATCTGTAAACCCAATTTACTGAACATAGATGTGCATGTTTGCTGTTGATTTTAATTTTCTTTTAAGATGTTACAATTCATGTACTCAGTTTACTATCCTTCAGGTAGTTAAGGCAATACAAGTGAGGGGTGATGACCTATGGTTGGAAGAGGGAGCCTCTCACATGGTCTTTGTTGCCAAGAAAGTGTTTGTGTGTATCTGAGATAAACAAACTAGCTCTATTTTTGCATCTTGCTGCAACATGTGACACTGCATCCAAGATGACAAGTAAACTCTGTCTGGGCTACCTTGGTCTTTTATCTTTATAAGTGAAATTGTAACCATTCTAATTGTAGTATTTGTGCTTCTTTTTTGTTTGTATTAGTCACTCAAGGGAGATCTTGCCACATGTTTGACTTCTACTGATGTGGAGAAGAAATCCTTTGAATCTCAAAAAAAAAGTCTTGCTGCAGAAAATCAGCACTTAAGAGAGTCTTTAGAGAAGGAAGAAAAAGCTTTGGCCTCACTTCAGGAAGAATTAAGGAAGCTAAGACAACAAATTAGAAACTTAGAAGGTAAAGGTACTAGCACTGAGTCTATTGTAATTGAAAATCAGAAACTAAGGGAATATTTGGAAGAGGAAAAGCAAAGAAACCACAACTTTCTTAGGCAAAAGGAAACACTCTTTGCAGAGGCACAGATGTTAAGGAGAGAACTAGACAAAGAACGTCATATTACAGAAGCTCTGAAAAAAGAACTGGAACAGTTAAGTTCTCGACAAACACCTGACAATGCTAATGATGTTGATACATTAAGAGAAAATCAAGAAATAGAAACTCTGCGAGAAAGACTAGTAGAACTAGAAAAAAAGCTAAACTTCGAGCAGCAACGCTCTGATTTATGGGAGAAGCTGTATGTTGAAGCAAAAGACCAAACTGAAAACCAAGAAATGAATGACAAGGGACAGAAGAAAGGTGCTAAAGGGCAAAGTAAGACTAAAAAAAAATCAAAGGAATCATTTTTTGGTTCAGTTAAAGAAACTTTTGATGCTATGAAAAATTCCACGAAAGAGTTTGTAAGACATCATAAAGAAAAGATTAAGCAGGCTAAAGAAGCAGTAAAAGAAAACCTGAAAAAATTCTCTGATTCTGTAAAGTCTACATTCAGACATTTCAAAGATAGCACAAAAAACATCTTTGATGAAAAGGAGAAGTCAAATGATAAAAGACATGAGGCAAACAAGAAAGCTCGAACTTTTTACCGAGAACATAACTCTTACGAGAATTTGAAGCACATGCATTACAGGGGACCTAACATGCCAAAAGAATTCAAAGACGGAAGAAAACATCATTTTACAATATTCGAAAAAGGTACAGAGTCACCAAAACATCTCAATGATCCTTTGTGTAATAGAAGACACCAGTTTGTCCTAAAGGGCTGCTCTGGTATTTTTGAATGTGCTCATCAAGAATTCATTAGTCTTTTTAACAGAGAATCGGATCCTATCAGGGTGGATGAATTTAATCGGCTAATGAGAAAGTATTTGCAACAAGTTGTACATAACTTTCATCACTGGAGAGAACTAGAAAATTTCATCAATAAGTTTTTTCATAATGGGATATTTATACATGACCAGATGCTGTTCACTGATTTCGTTAATGATGTCAAGGATTACCTGGAAGATATGAAGGAATACCAAAATAATAATGAAAAAGTTTTTGAGGATTTGGACAAATACATCTATAGATACTACTTTCATTATGATAATTCGCCTCAGTATGGACCCAGGTTTGTTTCCATGTCTTCTGAACTTGTTAACACCATTGAGTAGTCTTTGTAAATAGAACTAGTGTCCTTGTTCTAATAGGTTGTCTTCTAAGGTGTATGTTTATGTCTATATATATACACTCTAGAAGACTTTCTGAAGGACTCAGTGGAAATACTAGATTGTTACATGAAGTGAATCTGTAGTACCTTATATAGAAATCTTGTGTGTGATGTTACTTTGGGAGGCACTACAGAGCCACTATAAGCAATTAAATATTTCTCCTGAGTTTTTTAGAAGACTGAGTAACTGCAGGTAGGATGACTTTAGACTGAACAGCTATGATTGCCTATCTGATGGAATGAATAACTATCTTGGAAGCAGTATTAACTAGGTTGTCCTTTCCCAAATGAGAAGGTTTTGAGATATATTTGAGCAGTTGCAGAGTCCTGTTCTGGCAGGTATATTCCTTGCTGGCTTTTCACAAACTTCTCTACTCTTGTAGTGTAGTATAATAGGGAGATACTCTGTATGCCCAGAGTAGAGCTAGTCAAATGGTGGACTTCAGATCCTGACCCTGACTAAACTTTAAGACTTGTTTACCAAGGCCCTTGGCATGAATTGTTTCCTGTGTTACTTGCCTGTATCTAATAGTATTCTCAGGTATTCTGCAGAGCAGTTGTTACGCTGCCTGGCTGGCCCAAGGGAGCTAGATACAGTGGACTGTTTCTATGGCATAGACTTTGGTGAAAGAAAATTAAGCAAGCAGCCTTAATATATTGTGTGGAACTTGCTCCTGGAACACTTAAGTATATATTTTATGTGGCTTGTAATATCATTGCTATTATAAAATTGGCTATATAATCTGTTGTGCTAATGTTTATTCTGATCAGGTAAGAAAAAATGTGATATGTTAACTAATTTATAATACACACAAAGTTGTCCTTGTAGCTATAATAGAACTTTTCCCTGTGCTGGTATTCAGTGCAAAGCATACTTACTATTTAGATTAAGCTTCAGTTCTTCAGTCAGGTTTCTCTTTTGGACTTGTTTATTATTTCATGTGTTCTAGTGCAGCAGGAAGTCTGAATACTTAACTACATTGGGGTTACTAAATCATGTGAGGTAGTACTTTCTTTTATTAAAAGTTGAACCATGAGGATGATAATCCTGTTACCAGCTACCAAGTAGCCTTTTTAATGTGTAGTTTTGGCAAACACATGACATAAGTTTTGTGTTTTTATTTATAGTCCAACTACTTCTTATTAGTTTATTATCTAAATGAACTTGAATTTTTAATTAAATCCAACACTTAATTTTTGAGCACTTTAATTCAGTTTGCAGAAAAACAGAATTTGAAATTCATTTATTAATGGTATGTTGCAGAAGTTTGTACGATACTGAGGATGAAAATAGCCTTAGTTTAGCAGAAGCCAAGAGATGCTAGTCATAATGTAACAGCATGTAGTATAATGAGATTGTTTGCATTAAAAACTGGAACTGGTAAGCAAGTGTTTTTTGTCAGTGCCCCCTCTCTCTGTATAAATGTACTTATTGTACATGAAAACCTCTGAAGTGCCCATGTTTTCACAAAGCATGCCTTTCTAAGGGTCTGTAAAGTTTACATTATTTTTATCAAGCATGATGTAATAAAATCACTGAAAATATATATTGAGACCTCAGTCATGACAGCAGGGATAAGCAAACAGCTGTTTTCCTGGCTTTATTCTAAAAAGAACTCCGGACAAACAGCTGCAGAGCATTTTTATTTTTAGAAAGGACTTATTTTAAATATGCTATCTTATTGATGATTTAAATAAACACATCCCTTTACCTCCATTTTGCTTACAAGAGAAGGGACTACTTAATACTGATTGGTTTTCAGTCAACCTCAGGATGTTAAAAGCTGTTCTTGACAATGTAATTGTGTTTCAGAATGTTTTTAGGGAGATGCTTTCATAAGAATAGTAATAAGCTTTTGTTTACTCCTTGCAGTCGACCTAAAAGGCCTTTTACACAAAGTGAAAATTCCAGACATGAAAAACAAGCTCAGAAGTACCAGCACCGTAATAAAAGAGAAGGTAAATGGCATAAACATGGTCGCACTAATGGAAGACACATGGCAAATCTTGAAATAGAATTGGGGCAATTACCCTTTGATCCAAAATATTGAGTAATTTATGGTAAAAATAAGATTAGAATTCACATCCTCTCCGGAAACTAATTGTTTTTCAACAAAGCAGCAAGATGCAAGTTTTTTCGCTAAATAATTTGATTTTTACACATTTTTGTTAAAAGGCAGATGTCAGGCTTTCTGATTTGCATATTCTGTACTGTTGCTTTAACTGTTCTTTGGAAATGATGATAGTTTGAGTGCCAGCAGTATTGTTGCAGAAACTAGGCATGGAATGACTTCTGTATGAAAAATATGCTTAATTGCATTCCATTAGTATAGTTCAAGCTTGAGTCATGCATAATGTAGCAATAATTAATTCCAGTGTTTGATATACTAACTTCATCTCAGCCTTCAAAAAATAGGTCTACATTACGGTAATGTATTTGTTAGTGTTTTGTAATCTTATACTTGCTTCTTGTCTTTGGGGGGGCTCAAGAGCCTGTTGAATTGTGAAGAATTTGCTGTGTTGCATTCTAATCAGCTTGCTGATTTAAGCACTTGAAATGTCTTGCATATCTGCATATTGTAGAAGAAAAATAAAGAGACATTGTGGGTAAAAGTCTTTATTTATAAAACAAACCTAGTATAGCTGTACAGTTCTATAAAAATGGTCCAGTCTTGTCTAATTGCTTACTGTTCAAGTAGTCATATGGTAACTTCGGTTTTCCTGATGTTTTCTGGTGTTGTAAGGTAGGTCAGCACCCACATCCTGCCATACTGCTACCAAAGTTGCCTTCAGGAAGAGGTTTCTGTGTTTCCAGACAGCCAGTGGCTGCCTAGTCAGACTTTCCCCTTCTGACTTACCCGGTTTCAGACTCACTACACTCTCCTGTCTGCAGTACAAGATCCTCTAAGCATAGTACTGCTATGCCAAACTGATCTCATTAGGTCTTAAGTCTAGAAACTGATCTTCAGGTATGATTCATTTCAGTTTTTCTCCTGTAGATATAGATATGGCTTCCAACTCGTCCTTGAGGTACATGAGTATGAAAGACAGTAGCTGTTTTCTCATAGCCCCTTAAAGTTAGAAATGATGATATTTCCTGTAAATGAACATATATTAGTTTCCAGAGTCAGAAATTGCAGTTGGGAGCATCAGAACAGTGTTCCAAAGTTTTTTGAAAACCATCAATTCAACTGTCCCCTGGAAGTTTTATCCTTTATTTTAGGAAAGACTGCTAGAAAAAGAGGTACCTATCCTGTTTGATCCTGTCCGGAGTGGATGTTCACCAGACACCGTTGTTTTGAGTACATGGGCTTCATAAAAAAATTGAGGGGGGAAAGGTACTCTTGACTGCAGACGTTTTTGCTTGTCATTGTTGCTTACTTAAAAATGTGTGGTTCTGGGAATGGATGGTACATTTGTTTTTAATATGGCTTGAGGAGAATTTCATAAAACATTAATTACTTTAAGGCATATAGAATTTCCACACAGGAGAGGGTATACATGAATGTTAAGTATGTATCACTGAAATGGTATCTATACTATATTACGGACTAGAGGGTTCAATTTGAATTTAAACTGTGTTTAAAAAATTGTGGACAACAATTTTCAAAAAATATTAACTATAACTCTCCCCTAATTTATTTTGTAACTTGACCTCAAAACTAGTTTGTTTCATCTTGCAGTTACCATACCTGTTCTAGCACGCTGAAGAAGATCAAGTGACTGGGTAATAACGTATCATTGTAAAACTCCTTGTTAAGCCAGCCAAGTGGATTAGAGTAAAATACATCTGCTTCATCAATATAGCTCTCATCTCTGGTTAGGTCTGGGGGACACTGAAGGAATCTCATTTTTAGAGGACAGTGAACGTGACTAGGGAGAAAAACAGAACAAATACTTCAGGATAAACTGACCAGTATCTCATATTTGAAATGACTCATCACTTTATCTCAGCCAAAACGAAAATGGAATAATTAGCTTTTCTCCCCCAGAGTCATATTTTCTTCCCTTCTGTACTTCATATAAAGCAAAAGTGGAACAGGTGGATTCAGCTCCAAAATGCTGTGTCTGTGTTGTTAGCAGTTCACAGAAAGCAGATTTATCTTAATAAAAATACCATATGCATAACAGCAGTTTCTTAAAAAGGTACTTTTCTATATCAGCTTCCCTGTTTATATCTACTTCAGTGTTTTATTTACTTGCCAGGATCTATTGCAAACTTTTTGGAATAGTGACCTCGATTATTTTATGTTGTAATTACTTTTCTTTACTCTCTAGTAGCAGAGGGTAAAATTAATAGTTTGTAACAATCAGTCCAGTTTTGCTACAAAAGTTACCATAATGAAAAGTTATTACTTTCAGAAGCCGTAAGACTGAGTGCATATCCTCATACAAAGCTATTTGACAAAAACTGAATAAAACTTAGATGCTGAATTTTAATCTATGGAATAAGCATTTGGCTTATTTCACCTATTCATTCTGTATTAACTGTATGAAAAATGAAAACTCTTCCTGTATATGTTTATCCATCTCAATTTATTAAGCTTAGGAAAAAAAAAAACCCCAAACCTTAATTTATGCTTGAGTGTATGGATTTTAATATAGTACACTATTAACTACTGTAGTACCTGTAAAATGGAGTAGAGTGGCACGGCATCATGATGAAGACAAAAGCTTGTGACTGGTAAGAGTTATTACAGAGTTGCTGTATGTGACTCATAACATCGAGAGTGCCTCGCTGGTGAATCAACCCTGTATACAGGGCTGGGAGTAAGTTTGATAAAAGCAGGAAACTTGCTGCAGATTTCTTCCATGCTTTCAGTTGTTTCAAAGAATATCCTATAGAAACATTAGAGTAAGTTTGAGAGAAGCACATACTAACAGTTGCACACAGTATTTTTGAAAGTACCATAACTTACTGGAAAACTGAGTTGATAACAGTACCTTGCTTTGAGGTATTTTAATAGTGTTCTTTCAGTCTTTTCTCTTTGAATGGAAATTCAGAGGTTAGACTTTGCGCTTATTAACTCTTGGATTTAACAGTGTAAGCCCATACCTGTCTTTTGAAGTACAGAAGTATGATTTCAAAGTCAGTGCTTTGTCTCTTTAGAGCTTAATTTTGATTGCTTGTGGGGAAAAATAGTCCATTCAGTTTAGATGAATGATATGTGGCAACTTACTGATGTGTTCAGATTCATGCATGTCCAAGTAGAGCTAGAATAAATGGCAACGTGCACTCTGGTATGGCTGTGGTATGCTTTTTCTCCAACATACTGAAAGCTCCATCATACTTTTATTGTTACTAATTTTTGCGCTGTTACCTTTGGGAAAAGTTTACTCTTCCATCTTTTCCCATCTACTGACCCCTTCCCCCTCACATTTCTTAAAGGAGATAGTAATAGGAAGAGGCATTTCTCCCGATGGGAGAGAGCTGTGTAAATGTGTTTCTCACAACCAACACTTAGATGGACCTGGCACAGAAGATGGTTCCATGTTGCAACCAGTCTGGAAACCCTTAAGTCATGTGCTTGTCAGGAGATAAAAATATTTTATGCAGCCTAGCTCTGTGTCCACATTTACTGAATCACAAGCAGCAAGTTATAATAGGCCTGTTTCAGAAGTCAGTAGCAAGTTAAATTAGCGTTCAGTTGGTCTGTTCCAACAAATTGCAGATCTTCAATGAAAACAAAGTCTACTAATTAGTCTGTGGCTTAAACACGAGTGGAAACATTCTATTATAGGCATTTTTTAATTGCTCTTGTGAAATGCTCTTAGCTTATCTTTAAATGTGCTTGGAAATTACTGTAAAAAATATGTGGGTTTTTTTTCTGCTTTTATTTATGAAGTTTTGAGCAATTTAAAGACCCCTCTGTAACCACTGAGTTATCAGAAATAACTTTTGTCACTTTTGTCTTTACTAAAGTATCCAAACAGATGATGATTAACACTTGATAAATTGTGTAATGATCTCATTCCCTTATAGACATGAAAGTTAAAAGGGATATTAACAAAAAATAGTGGTCTGATTTGAATTTTTCTGCACATGAGGTAGAACTGGTTCATCTTAAATCTGCTACTGAACTGAACTAAGCAAAGACATATTACATACTTAATCTCAGCAGACAGCAAAACTATTGAAGAAAGATTTACTTCTGTTTAGACTAGCAAAACAGGTTAAAGAAAATTGTTTTTCATTGATTCCTCTGTTTTGATCTTGTAGGTAAACTAAAGCTGTACAGCTTCGTGTTCCAGAAGTTTTAATCTTTCCTTTGTAACTTTTCAGCATACTAGACTTTACATCATGATTTTACTTTTCCTACAGTACTGTAGTTATTACCAAGTTTTGTAAAATATAAAATACTTCTTTGTTAGGCTCTTTTCTGTGTTTAAAAGAAAAAAAACACAAAATAACAGAAAAAGATAAATGAGTACTTTTAAAGTTTCTGTTAAAGTATGAGAAAAATCTTCATTAGCAAAAGGAAAATGCTTTCAAGTTTAAACTGTGGACAGATTCTCCTTAATTAAACTTCTAAGTTAACCACATTAGTTTAGGGACATTATTCCTGTTTTTAACAAATTCACTTCACTATGCCTGAAGGAAAAAGCTATCACATTAACTGCTCTCAGACTTCTGTGGGAAGTAGCTTCCAGCTGGTAGTTGGTCATGAGCAGACAGAAAACTAGCATTATCTACTAACACATCTGAATCTAGAAAAGGCTAATTTTAGTTTTTAAATACTTTAATTTTTGTTGCATACTCAAAGGCATTTGTCAGGCATATTTGAGACAACTGTGTGGAAAAATACTACAAAGAACCCACGGAACAAAATTCACTGTAAGGGTGGCCTTGCTAAAACATTAGCAGTCACTGAGGCAATTTTCACATTTTCAGGAAGTACTTTTATCCATGCTAAGGAGTCTCCACCTGTGTTTCAGTCACTTGGTGTTCTTCCTTTTTTTTTTTTTTTTTTTTTGGTTTCCACTAGCTGTAAGAAGAAGTTAGGTTAGTTCTAAGGCTCTTTTGTCAAATACCTACATTGACTTTTAACAGGCTCTCTTTAGGTAAAAATTATATACAGGGAAGGTTGCAAGACATTTGAAACCAATGCTTACCACAAAAAATCATGCAAAATGGTAGTACTGGGTAGATGAACCTGAATTCTTTATGGCTGAGCATGCTGCAATAAAACAGATAAAGTACTACAGTGAGAAAGCTCAATGCGTCAGTTCTTTTGACAAAATGTGTTTTTAGAGCATGGAGGACTGGAAGAAAAGCACTTGCATGTACTAAAAAGCTTTGGGCATTGAAGCAGTTTAGAGTAAAAATCAAAGTTGTTGCTTTTTAAGAACTTAATGAGTATGTTCAAAATAAAATTATTTGGTCAGTTTAAACCAAGCACTAATAAAAGCACCTGACTACTACTCTAGTGATTAAGTGGTCTGATTCTATGACTACTAGATATAACTTAGATAGTACTTCACCAATTTACTTTCTGTAATAAAACACAAAAAGTGTGGATGAGAAGCTGAGACTCAAGTATACAAGTTAAGTAACATCCACCTCTGCTAATACAACGTTACGCAATTTCTCATGCCAGCTTCTGGGGGATAATTGCAAGGCTTGTGTCAGGGGAACCAAACAGGTTCTTACAAAACTTAAGGGAGATAAAAAAGGCCTAAAACCAATAGAGCTACATCCAGTTTTGAGATGGACTGAAAGATGGCATTTGTGGCCTTGCTGCTGTTCTGCTGTATTCTGTTACTACTGTAGTCTTAATACCATTTATTACTTAGTATTTATTAATTTGCTGTATATTTTATTGTCTCAAAGTCTCTCATTTAATCTCCAGTTAATTCTGATGCTTTAGAAACAGCTTACCTTTTCTTCTCAACTTAAGACATACAGTCCTATGATAAATCTTAAGAGCTGTGTGTAGACTTGTGAATGGAGTAAGTTTGAGGCCTAAGAACCTCCCATATTACTGGGGATATATTGAAGAACCAAATATAATGGTATTTTCATTATCAGGCATCTAGTAAACACAGTTTTCTGACTACTTCTAATGTTGCTTAAACATGTTAGGTGATTTGAGTGGTGTGATTTTTTTTTTTTCCATCCAATGTCATGCTGAATTATTTTATTCTGTAAGGGTCTAATAAATTCTAAAAATACATGTTTGGTAACAATATAAGAAGTAGTATTACGTAAAATTCTAGAAACTATTGTATAATTGACTGCATTTCTTAGAGTGTTTGAATAGTTTAAAGTTTTCTGTCACTTATTCTAGAGAGGACATGAGCTTTGGAAAGAAGAGAACCAGTAAAAGATAGTAGTTACACTTAGGAGAAATTACCTGTACACCAACATTGTCCAAATAACTGTCATTAGAAAGATGCGATACCTTTTTGCTGCCAGCACACAGCCATGAATAAAAAAAGGCAGATGGGTACCCAAGATGACTGGTAGTCCCTGAGTGAAGTACCAATGCCAAGGATGAGATCCGTAAAATGCTCCCAAATTCTGCAGCACGTTGAATTTCAAGAAGTTCAGCTGAACCAGTACCCACTGGGAGATGAGGGGTGGAGGTGGGGGAGTTAAATACAAATCCAAAGTGAAAACCAAGAGCTAAATTGAATTACAGTCATCACTGACCTTAAATGATAGAGCATTTTCATTCATACTTATGTTTTTTTCTACTAAGACTTGTCACAGACTTCCCCTAGCAATTAAACACAGCGGCATGTAAGTTTTGTAGTTTGTTGATAACTACTGGTTTATTGATAGCAAACTGATTTTAAGTAACAATCTGTGTCATTTAAAATAACTGAGGAGTCAGTGTTTAAGGGCTTATGGCTTAGGATCTATTTAGAAAGCATAGGCAAGACACAGTCACAGAAATAATGGAAGTCAGAGGTGTCTGAACCATCTGTCCATGTTAAAATGCTAAAACCCAACCACCGTCTTGTAAGTCAAATTTAAAACAACTTACCTCACCAAAAAACACCCGGTCAATTATTAAAGAGGTTCCTACTGTGACCAATCTGCAAAAATGAAAAGTTGATTGCAGTGATTCTGCCTGAGTTGCTTTTGTATTAGATTCTACTGTTCTCTAAGTAGCTGTCAAAACTCCCAGATTCATCATCTTTTTTGAGATTATCCATACTCAGGGCTATTTTACAGTGGTCAGTTGCCATCACCCAGTATCCTTGGCACAATCCCAGATTTAAGCGGAAATGCTATTCGTGTCTCACCCTCAAGAAATCTCTCCTAGTGCTTTTTTGCAGCATATACATTGATTTAAAGGAAGCACGGTCCTTATTTAACTTCTCAAAAAAGACTTTTCCTTGTTTTTTACATTAAATCAGCTTTTGGGGTTGTCTGCCTTGGTGGTGGTAAAATCAATCTTAAGATATAGCTGTGCATAGTCATAGTTTAAATTCAGTAAGAACATACCCAATTGGAAGGCAGTTGTGTAGGATAAGGTCTGCTTTTCTCTGTTCTTGCAAAAAATGACTGAAGACCAAAGGTATCCATGGGATAATAGCGGTGGGACGAATAACAATTGCAAGTGCTAGCAAAGCTAAATATTTGCAACTAGAATGAAGGAGTATAAGAAAAACAAGTTTATCAGGAGCTTTGGTCAATTCTTTTGCAGACAGTGACATTATTGTCATGTTCCTGACTAAAAGGTTTTCATACTGTAGATAACATTGATTCTCTCAGTGCAGATACTCTCCTTTTCTTGGGAGGCTGCCAACTATATAATTGTTTTATTAGCAATGGAGCTTCTAACTAGAAGCACATACTTGCTTTAAAATGGTAAAAGAAAGTCATGACCTATATCTGAACCCAAACAAACTTTTGTTATCTTTTCCCAAGTTACCCCACATTTCAATCCTTTAAAGGAAAGTCTCCTGTAAAGTGATACTTTGTATAAGGGAACTGGTGAATATCAATTTTACATACCAGCTATACCATGGCTTCAAAAAATTAGAGGAAATACCACAATTGCTGATCCTTTCATGATCTAGAGCTCTTGCTGCGTGCACGAGGTGATTTTGGTTGCCTTATATTTTCAGATAAAAGTTACCATTTTAAACAGTAGCATTAGATTGGTGTTATCTTAAGCCAAAAATTAACAGTACTGTTAGTAGAAAGTTTCTCACCTGCTTCCCATCTTGGAACCTTTTATTGGATAGTAGGAAAGAGCAAAAATGGTAAGAAGAGTTTCCATGGTGTTTGTTAGAGTTCTGGTACAGGCATACCATGTAAACCAGGAACACAGCTGGCAGAAGTACTGAAAATAATTATGAACAACAGTATGTATAGGAAGAAGTGTTAAATTCTGTAGTTTTAAATGAAGGCAATAATTCTTCAAGGTGTGACTTACTATCATCTGGCTGTTGTTTACACTGCAACAACCAGCGTTTATTAACATGCATAAAATTTTTTTAAAGGCTGACACTCACCACACACTTTGCTGTTTCTGCATTTTCAAGGCGTTGCACTAATGAGTAAAGCTTCACATCAGCAAAAGCTGCCAACACTGCCTGTGCAAGTCTAGGGACCCATATCTATGTAAGCAGAGCAAAAAATTCACTTGCAACAAATGTGTTAAATTCTAAGTTTGAAGAGAGGACTACTGAATTAGTGAATGACTGTTCAGACATGAAAATAGTGAATTAGTGAATATTCTCTATAGCTTTTTATGATTAAAAAAAAGGTCCTTGGGTAAGACTAGTATTTCTGCCAGCACAAAGTCTAAAGTTCATCTGCAAGTGTTCAGAAAGTGAAAGTAGAATTCTTTGCCATTCAACTCCAGTAGAAGTCAAAAGGGACTGTTACTGAATTTAGTGCAAACATATATTATTAAACAGTCTAGAAAGCTGAAGCACTAAGCAGTTATGATGCAGTGGTGAACACCATGAGATTCAAGGAGACTCAAGGCCAGGAATAATCTTCTGCAGTCACAGGCATCAGTACTGTGACTAGAGATCTGTGAATGACTTCTGCACCCCTGTGGTATGCTACAGTGAGGTCTCAGCTCACACATCTCTAGTTGCTAGATTCAAGGCTTTATATTTTACCTGGCCAGTTACAAGAATACCCTGAATTTAAATACAATGCTTTCAATTGAATTTTAGTAGCAGATGTGTTTTTTGATTATACTCACCAACAGCTGAACATCATCCTTGGCCAACAGCTGTAAAGCTTTGTAGATGCTTGCAAAGATTAGTGGGTATGAATAGCCCCTTAGGCCATTTACCCATTCCCAAGTCAGGTAGCCATAATTACTAATATTAAGGATAGATCATGAACAACTGAAACAAAAGGTGTCACGCGAGCTGTGTAATGCTCAGACTTGCCCGCGTCGAGACGTTGATCCCCGTGGTCAAAAGTAGGGGTGTTTTTGCAACTGGTCAAACCAACACCTCACTGCCGTGGAAATCCACCCGAGCGCGCCTCCCACTCGCGACACCGCGCGGCCGTGACTCTCCGCTGATGCGGCGGGGGGGGAGGTAAAACTCGGGCAAGGAGGGGGACTGCGTGAGGACCGGCGTGGGTCTGGCAGCGCCAAGGATATTTGAAGACCATGCGATGCGCCACCTCCAGCGCCTGCCAGTACTCGTCCGGGACGAAGCTGGTGCGGACGAGGAAGCAGTTCACCGTCCGCAGCGCCACCGCCAGCGCCAGCAGCGGCGCCGGCCCGCCGGCCGCGCCTGCGGGAGGGGAGCCTGTCCGTCAAGAGCCAACCCCGAGACCCGCCGCCCCACCGCCCCGCACCCGCTTACCGGAGCCTCGCTGCCCGCCGGGGGAGCTGTACAGCACCGACCGCCGCTGGCGGAGCCGTACCGGCCCGCGGGCCCGCAGCCCGCCCGCCGCCTCCATCCGTCCCGTCGCACCGCGCCGGGCCTCCGCCGTCAGCGGCGCATGCGCGACCGGCGCTTTCTTCCGGGCACTGTAGCGAGCGGTGCGGGGGCCGCCGCTCCGTCATCTCCCGTCCTTCAGGTGAGGGGCGCCGGGCCTGGCACGCCGCTGTCGGTGGCCGTGGGGCGAAGCGCTCCCGGGGCGCGCCGCGCTTCCTGCCCCCCGGCCCCTCTCCCCCGCCGCGGGGGACCGCAGCGCCTGACACGCGCGTCAGTGGGCGCAGGTGCGGCAGCTCCGCCCGCCGCCATGTGGGGGCGGCTGCCGCTGCCGCTGCCGCAGGTGGCTCTGGCGGTGGTGCTCGGCGTGACCAGCGGCGTCTACATCTACCGGCCCGTCTTCCAGCCGCCCGGGGCCCGGCAGCCCCCCGAGAGCACGGCGGGGCGGCCGGCGGTCGCCGCGCCGGAGAAGAGGCCTTAAGGGAGTCGTGGGAACCGCGTCGCTGCCCTGGCGCCGTACCCCGGGAGCTCCTCGCAGCCGGGACCTCCGCGCCTTCCGTCAGAGGAAATGGCGCCCACGCCCCTCACCAAGCCGGAGCGTTCGTCGCCAGTCGGGGAACGTCCCTCCTGCACCGTGGGCCCGCCGCGGCCATCCCGAGCGGCCTCTGCAGCCCGGCCCTGCTCCGCTGCAGCCCGCCAGCTGAAGGTGTCACTGCGTACCTCTGTGTTTGGTAGCAGCCTCTAGGGATGTGAATGTTGAAATAGGTATAAAATTCTGAATGTGTAAAGGTACGTCTTCGTGTCTAAGTTTAAATTGCCACCAGGGAACTGGAAAAAGAAAGCCGCAGTTGTATGGTTACACTTCATGGGTTTTTTTTGCATTGCCTCTAATCTGATCCTCCAAGTGATAAATACCATTTTTATCCACCTGTCGTGGTTTCGGTTCTTAATATTTCAGTTCTGTTGGGAATGCAATTGTACTTAGGACTGAGAAGGGAACTGCACCCAGCTTCAGTGTCCTTGGCTTACCTGTGTATTCATACCTGTATATATATACATACACATATGCACCACATATGCATATATGCATCTTGTCATTCCTGACAGAATGAGGCTAGAGTGGCTTTAATAGGTAACATTGCCTGGAAGCTGGGTTTTACTTGGAGAAGCGCTTCAGCTGAGTAGGCTGGCATTAATCTTGCAATAGGTGTGGGTCAGTCTGACAGAGAGAACGGAATCTGAGGCTCAGGGAAACCAGATCAGCAGGTATTGTAAGGCTTTAGTGAATCTAAAGAGAAACCAAAGCCTGCAAATCTTGGAAGGAACTTCTGTCACATTCTGGTTTCAACACAGAATCTGTGCACTACATGAGGGAAAAAACTCCTTTCCCTGGATGTGATTTTCTTTAAAGCCAGGAATGATGAGACAACTGAAGGCAGTAGATAGACTACAGAAACTAAGGTGAGAGAGTAGCAGTAGAAGGTGGGTTGGGAGGTGCAGTTGAGTGCATGATAGATCTAGTTTGGACATGAGGGAATGCCACAAATCTGGTGAGTGCAAACACAGAACTACTGTGGTGATTCCAGCAGCTTCCTTTGTTTACAAGACCATTATTTATTGAAAAGGCATAACTGAAGTCTAGTAGGTGCTTTGTTTGTAAGCGCAGTTGCTGGAAGTTTATCCATAAAGACGGCTGTTGATTTTGAAAAGTCTCACGAAGGAGGATGCCTGAACTGATGCAGACAGAAAGGGTTAGTGATACAACTGGGCTTAAGACTGTGCTTGCTGAATTCTTGAGACTGCTGGATTTAAAGTGTGTTTATTGCGCAGCTGTCGAGAGAGCAAAGAGAAAGTGCTTTTCTCTGGTGAGGGAAGGGAACCAGCAGGCGGCAGAAAAAACTCACTGAATCCACCACAGTGGTGGATGTTACCTGGCACCACGTATTCTCTCTTCAAATCCTGTTTTGCCTCTCGTGCGTTGTTATTAAACGGCATGTGATCTTTCAGGAAAGTGAGGACTGACGGGCCAGCCTGTGCCATTAAAAACGGCCTTCTGAATTTGAGCAAGGCGAGTAGCGGGGGGGCAGTGCCAGAGCATCGCCTGGTTGCGGTAGGGTGCAGCCCTCGGGCCGCACTCGCCAGCCCCCTCAGCTTTCCCGGACCGGGCGCCCGTTTCTTGGGGCGGGGGAGGGAGGGATGGAGCGGAGCGGGGCCGGGACCGGGACCGGGACCGGGGCCGGGGCGGTGCTGCCTGCCCTGCCCTGCCCTGCCCTGCCCGCCCCGCCGCCGGGAGGGGCCGTTCCCGCCCCTACCTCGGGCCTCACGGGAAGTGATGTTGCCTTGACGGAAAAGGCACGCTTGCAGCCCAAAACCGGGTAGGTGCGGAGGGAGGGCCGCGGCGCTGCGGCAGCCCCAGTGCCGTGGGAAGCGAGCAGGTAGGAGGGCAGCGGCCCGGGCTGAGGGGCGGCGGGGCCCTCGCACCGTCCGCGGCGGCGGCGGGAGGCACTGGGGGGCGGTTCAGAGAAACGCTTCCGCCGCAACAGCAGTTCTCTCTGGACGGGCGGTTTGGGCCGGGAGCTCGAAATACTGAGGGGAAGAAGGTGATTTCGCTGTGCTGCGGGAGCTGCCCTCCGGCCCCCCCGCCGCACCGGCGGCGTGGGGTCTTGCCGGGGGCCACCTCAGCCGAGAGACGAAGCAGTGTGGAGGCTCGGCCTGTCGAGTGCCCGTACGTGTGCTTAACTTCGCGGCCGCTGCCCTCAGCACGGCAACGGGCGCTCGCGGGCCCCCCCGTGTAGCAGCTGTAGGACCTGGACGTTTCCCACACCTCAAGACGTGCACTTCTTTCCTAAAAAAGAGAAGTAGATCATATGTGCGATGTAAAAAAACTCCAAAAAAGCCTTTAAAAATCGTGAATCGTTGAGGGAGAAGTATGAGTGTGTTTTCTCTTTTAGCCAAAACTTTAAGTTTTGTGTTTGAGTATCAACAGATCTGTTGCTTCTTTCTGAACGCTGCATGTTTGTCTGACAGTTTGCTTGCTTAGAGGGTTCAGGAGGACTCTTCAACCTGATCTGCAATGCTTGGGCTAAACTAATGCTTTATGATCTTGGAGCCAAAGAAAACTAAATCCATCAGAAAAAATGTCTTGTTTTTTTCTAGCTCTCTAAGTAACAAGATTATATTAGTATGTAAGCTGTATTTTTTTTTTTTATAGTGCTAGGAAAGTATAAAAGACATGCCTAGAACTGTCAAAAACACCCAACCTTAGCTTTTATCTCTACTTAGAGATGCATCAGGTATATTTTGAGCTTTCTGATCATATGACTCCTCAAACACTTTCCCTAATGATTAGTACTTTTCAGTTTTTCATCAGGGTAACACACATGCATGTTTGGAGTTAGGAGTTCTGCTAGGTATTATTGGCAAGGTGATGTTTCTCTGTACTTACAGTTTTTATTGAAACTCTACAAAATGTTTATTGATTTCCATGCATAAAATGCATTAGCGGCACTAATCAGTTTCTAAAATCCATTCTGTCTGCCTTTTCTTAGAAATGCATTCTTATGTAGACTTATCTTCTCAGCCCTTGTTTCTATTCATAGACTTCTACTACTTTTGTGACTGTTCCAAGTATTTTCCAGCCAGGGAAAAACATAGTACAATATGCATTTCAAATGTTGATACATAATTGTAGAAAGAATATTTGTGATGCTAAATGAGTGTCTCAAAAGCATGGTTAAAAAGATGGAAAAAAGAACAGCATGTTCCTGTGTTTCTAGTTCAGGGTTCTAGTTTTATGTGTACTTAATCTCTAGCACAAAGGAGTTCTGGGTGGTAGGAATGTGCTACAACTTAGGCTGTTTTATTTTTACAGTTGATAAAATTTCTCATCTGCAACCAGATATCTAAAACCAGTAAGTTTGTTTTCATCACTATCATTAAACATGGGAACACATTATTTTATCACTTGACTACACATTTCCTTTTCTTTCAAATAGAAGATTGGTGAGATAAAAGAATTTTTAAGTAGCTTTTGTCATTTACAGAAACACACAGTATGAGCAGTAATCCCTGTGTGTCTTCTTTGGATTCTTGGTTGTTCTGTTACTGCCAGGTATCTGCTATGCTGGCATAATGACCATTGATTAGTCATGTAAATTTTCAGCATAACCCTGGAAATTCAGATCAATTCCATTACTAAGAGCAGTTTGTTGTAGTCAACAGATGACTAGTAAGAATTTAATTTAGGCAAAATTGGTGCTAGAGATGGATTATAAGGAATGACAACTTTTTCCCCTGTTAATGTCTCAGCAAATAATTATAACAGGGTGCATTTAGAATGTATTACATTTCTGATTTAGGTACTTAATCATCAAATGCTCTCTTCTGCATTAAAGCTGCATTATTGCACTCCACTGTACACGTGATCTGGTCCTGCATATAGTTAAGTTTGTTCTTCAGTAATTTCAGAGTGTTACTTACATATTTATAACTAAGCATTTGCTGGGCTGGACATGTCAAGTGCTCAAAGACTGGCTTTCGCTCCTCTTGTCTGGCAGATACCCCTGGTGCTGGAGATAAAATCATGTTTACAGAACTGACTTAAAACATGGCTGAAAAGTTGTTTAAGTACAGCATGGTTAAAGAAATACTTGTCTAAAAGGCAGCTTTTTATAGCAGAAACACATTTTTTTTCTATTCATACATCTATATTCCCAATCCATTTTCCTCTGGGAATAGCATCTGGTTATGAGATTTCTTTTCCTCATTTCTTTTTTGGTTGTCTTAGTTTGAAGATTGCATCCCTGTCAGGAGGCAGGAATAACTTGAAGCACATTAAATCAGATGAGATCATACCCTTTTATCTCCAGTGGAGGTAAAACCATAGTGACTGAGAAGTCTTAGCCCCTAATTTATTTCCTGGAACATCCTTACATTGTTTTGTTTTCATACATTATACAACAGAATTTACTTTTGATTATTGTAATAAGTAGTCTCAACATATGTGATTTATTTTCCAATCTAATAAACTTTGAAGATTAAATTATGGCATATAGATTAAATTATGACATATAACCAGCATAATTTTTTTCCTATGATGTTGCTGTGGCTTCAGGGGGTTGAAAATACTGTGATATAGGTATGACAATTTTGCATAGTACTGGGTGTTGGAATCCTTTTCACTTACTGGCCAGCACTTTGGATCTGAACAGACAAGTTCCTCAGTATTTTAAACTACTGCAGGGGAAAAAAGTAAAAAAGGAAGGCAAGCGTCCTTGCTTTTACAGCTCTGATGATAATATCAAAGAGTAAACCAATGCAGTGCTATTTTCCTGAGTTTGTAAACCTGTTTCCCATAGCTGTTCCCTTTCTCTCTGATACTTTTAATGATGAGAAATGGGTAAGACTAAGGCATGCTAGATAAAGTGTGAAGACTGGTACCAAGGTAGGAAGGGGGCAGGAAGCAGCAATGAAGATCCCAGCTTAGTAAGAGGAGTACAGCTTTTCTAGAAATTTGTGGTTTGCTGTGGAAAAAATGAAATATGTGAGCAGTGCTTTAAAATTGAAAGTTAAATTTGTGGGCACTTGCAAATAGTATTTTGAAAATCACTCTATGCTTCTGCTGCGATTCTTTGTGTAAAAGAGTTATGTGAATGAAAGGACTGTAAGGAGTATGTCTAGCTGAAGTATTTTATATGCAAATAAAACACTGGATGGATATAAAGACAACTGCTACACCAATCAAGCAGCTGATTCCAGATTAACTTTGGAGTTTGTGATTGCAGTTTTGCAGCTTGCTGTCTTGCTGCTTGTGTGTACAGCTATCAGTTGAAAAGGTGATAGAAGGATAAATGAATAGATAGCAAAATAGTTAAGTATTACTCAAGATTCAGGTTTTTTCCTTTCAGGTAAGGTGAGCTCCATGGTTAGAAGTAATGCCTTTTATTAGACCAATTTATGTTATTAGTAGGGGTAGGTGAGCTTTCAGATATGTAAGCCCTTTTCAGGTTTGAATTAGAAATGGCAGAAAGCAAAATAAAATTGAAAACAATTGATACACTGTTTTTATAGTACTTTTGTTAAGCATACAAACTCACGAGGCAGCATATGTCATGAGAAGGTAATGAAGGTTCTCTTGCAGAAGTCCTACTGTTTTAAAGGCATCCTCCCATTTCTAATTAAGCACTTCAAAATGACAGTGCTGTCACAGTAGCTGCTATACAACTATGAAAGCGAACAACATATGCTCTCTAAAGTCAACCAACTTTCATTCTGAGGGCCTATCTCATTATTTTCATGACTGTTGGATATTTCATTTTCTTCTCTTAGCTGCTCAAAGAGGTATAAAGAAAAAGGTTACTCTCTGAACTGAAAAGGAATAAAAAAAATTCTTTCCATTAACATCCCTGGCGAACAGGAATATTTGAACTAGTCTGAGGCTGCTATTAGTGATAATGACTAAAAAAGCGTGTATGTTAGGTAGGAGGAAAAGAAAAGTTGATTCATTTTTATGATAAAAAATGCCAGTTTTCTGCTTTTTTTGTGTGTATTTGCCAGTCTTGCAAGTATAACATTTCATATTAGTAGTTGCTGAGGGAAATTACACTCCTCCCTCCTCCTGCAAATTCTTGCTCATAATTGCATAACTAACATGGAGTGTGATGCATTTTGAAAACTTCATAATATCACTCAAAGCTAACAGCTGTGGGGGTTGCTTGTGCTACGAAATTGTTTTATGCAAGGTTTGCATGAGAGATGCATTGCTGTTATAGTTATTGCCAATGAGTGGTGCTTCCCAAGTCTACTTTGACTCCTAGCTAACACTCAGAATGTGGATAATAACAAAAAGTAGTATAGTTTTTTGTTTTGTTTTTTAATTGCAAATGTTAATTATAATTCATCTCCCCCGACTTGTTTGGTTCTAAACCAAACTTTATACATGACTGAACGTGACCTGAAATACAGGTATCAGGTTAGGTTCTAGCCCTGCTACTGTCATCCATTTGCAAAAGAGTGTTTCTCATCTAGCACTTTTAAGATCCTGTGTGCATAACAGCACATGCTCCACTTTCTCCTCTAACAATGATTCAACTTGACAGGTCTTTTCTGCTGGGGCATGAACTGTCTGGCTATACTTAATTTTTCCATATTCTTGCATTAGAATGGTGTCAGAATAGACATCTCTGCACAGAGATGGTGTCATCTGAATTTGAAGACAATACCATCTGAATTTGATTATATTTCTTCTCCATTTGATAGCAAAACTCTCATAATTTTAGTTTGGATAAATGTAGCCCTAAGTTGGAGTTGTTAAAGTAGTAGTTTTTTTTTAATGTTCTTTAGCTATGAAGTAGAAGAGGTGACTATAGATCTTTACTTGGCAGTTTTCTAGAATTGTCAGTTTGGATATACCACCCAATGCACAGGGCAGGGCCTG